TCATTCTAGTTGTACAGTTTTCATTGCTTTCACAATACTGACTCGATGAACTAAACAAACGATTCTGAATAGTAAAATCGACGTGGGGGTAAAAATAAAAATTTTATTTATAAGAAAAAAGAAAAATGGGGTTGTGGGTACTTATAAAAAATATTTCTAGAAATAATTAATAATATGGATTAAATAGAATTATATAAAAATATAGTAAACAAATCTAAATTTTTTATTTTTTGGTTACTGCCAAATCATATATAAATATTAAATGTTGTAAATATTGCACCTAATCTTTTTCTACAATTAACAATTATTTTTCATTTCTTATCCCCAATGAGTGCAGTTGAAATGTCTTTTGAAAATTTAAATTTAGAAGTACCATTTATAAATCTTAATAACTTAAATAAAAGTTATGTTGACAAAGCGATTAAAACAAGAGGATTTGTGTGTAACATAAATGTTTTTAAAAAAACCACTTTTTTAACTCTTAGGGATCAAAACAGAACATTACAATGTGTTTTATCTACTACTGAAGCTGCAAAAAGTCTTAATAATGAATCATATATTGAAGTGGAAGGTAAGATTTGTTTGGTCTCGACAAAAATTAAGAGCTGTAGTTTTAGCGAATTAGAATTACAGTTACATACTTTTGCGATTTTGAATGCAAGTGAGTCTGTGTTACCATTTAGTTACAAAGACGTATCTTACACGCTAGAAGATTTAAAAAAATATAATGTAAGTCCGGTTTCCTATCATTTGTGTTTAGATAATCGCTCTTTGTATTTACGATCACCGCAAGGTTATGCTATTACTCGAATTCTTGACGCTGTTATGTTTAAGTTTAGAGATTTTCTAAGGTCTAATGGATTTATAGAAGTTAAAACTCCTAAATTAATAGGTGGTGCAAGTGAAGGTGGTGCTAATTGTTTTAAAGTTGACTATTTTGCAAAAACTGCTACTTTAGCTCAAAGTCCACAGCTTTACAAGCAAATGTGCATTTTAGGCGGGCTGAAAAGAGTTTATGAAATAGGGCATGTTTACAGAGCTGAAGAAAGTAATATTAATAGATATTTAAGCGAGTTTATAGGTTTGGATTTGGAGATGGAAATTACTGATAATTACATCTCAGTAATTAATTTTATTTATGATTTATTTAAGTCTATATTTGTATTTTTATCCGAAAGTTATTCTTCGGAGCTAGAAACTATTAAGCAATATTTCGAGTTTGAACCATTTATGTTTACTGATAACCCTGTTATTTTGGATTATATTGATTGTATGAAGCTACTTAAGGATGAATATAACATTGATATGAAACTTGAAGATGATTTTAACAATGAAAATGAGAAGAAGCTGGGTGAAATTGTTAAGAAAAAGTGGAATACAGATATTTTTGTTATTAAGGATTATCCAGTTTGCTGCCGCCCTTTTTACACAGCAGTTGATTCTAAAACTGGATTTACAAAAAGTTATGATTTTATAATTCGTGGCGAAGAAATTTTATCTGGTGCGGAGAGAATCAATTGCTATAAAACATTGAAAGAAAATATTGAAAGATGCGGTATTAATATTAGTAGTTTAGGTGGATATTTAGAAGCTTTTAAAATAGGTGCTCCACCTCATGGAGGATGTGGAATAGGATTAGAAAGACTTGTTAAGGCTTATTTTGGAATGAAAGATATTAGGTATTTCTCTCTTTTCCCTAGAGATCCAAATAGGCTTTATCCTTAATTAAAAATTTTTAATGACATTTTTGTAAAGACATACATTTAATATATTGTGGTATAAATCTTTTATAGTCTTACAGTGAACGATAAAAGAGGCCTACCTATACAAAGAAGCATACAATTAAAATTAAATGTCAGATAAAAAATTCTAGAAATCACAGGATAACAAAACTACATTTTAAAGTTTAAAATTATTATAATTATTTTTTTTAATTAATTTTTATAACTGAATAGAAAGATAACATACCATAAGTAATACTAATAACTGCTAGAGCTGTGTTTAAAGAACTACCTATAACTTTTATGTTTATAAAATAATAAAGACTCGCAAATATAAAACACATAAGAGTGGAAAATGTTCCACCAATAAATTTACACATTTTATCAAAATCTATATTTGTACAAGCCAATCCAAAGCAACTACTGATAATTAAAAATGAAGTGAAAGCCCTCACATATTTGTATTCTTTATTTTTTAAAATTTTTTCATTAATCATATTTAGTAAATATTGTTTACAAGGATTTGTCTGTAAAGGAACAGAAAGTCCTAATAACAGAATGTAAAACCACGATAGTGCTGCTTTTACTGTATCATTGGGATGCGTATTAATAAATGGTTTTACTATCTGATTACCAAAAGCCATATAACTGATAATACCAAAGAGCAAGTAAATAATGCTTGCAGATATAAAACTGCATAAAGCTGTAAGTTTAAATTTCTGTGTGTTGTAAAATTTCATTTCATTTTGTAGAGTAAATATGTTTTGGTGGCAAGTAAAACTAAAAACGAAAGAACTCAAATTTTCAATATAATTATGTGATTTTCTAAAGTAAATCAAGTTTGGCAAGTTTGTAAGTGTAATATATCTGTAATATGATGTACTTATTAAAAGAAGTATCGCTATTAATCCAAAACTGCTAGTATATTTCAACTTATCGAGCTTAGTCATAAAAATAAAAGGTGCAATAAAAAGTATTACAACAAAAAATACAAAATATAAATTTACGTTTAGATTATAATACTGAATTAAAAAATTAATTTGACACTTTATGTACACTAAATAAGCTATAGATACAGTATAACATTTAAAAATCACTACAATGTCAGCAAGATATTTTAAACATGGCATAAAATGGCGTGTGACGGTTGATAACGTATTATTGCGTCCAAATCTTGCATTAAGTTCAATATATAATAGTATTCCTGCATAAGAAGAAAATGCAGATATAAAAGTCAAAAATATGCTAGAAATTATTCCAAATTCAAGTACTAAAAATGGATAATTTAGTATTCCACATCCCATAGTTGTTTTTAATAAGTTTACGTAAATGGATAAAATTTCATGATTTGACTGTTTCATAAGGGGCAAATGTATAAATTTTGTACAGAATAAAAGGAGACAAGAAAAACTTTATTTATTTTATAACTACTTTGACATTGCATAAGTATTAATTTTAAAAAACGATTATTTTTGTTTTAAATAATTAATATATTTAATTAAAAGTTAAGTCGAACTGCAGATCAATCTTAAAATTAATATTTTGCGCATTATTATGTAGCTTATTTTACATAAGAAGGTAAAAATTATCAAAAAATTATAATTTTATTTATGTGTATAAAAATATCTTATTATTTTTATGAACGTATAACCAAGGCATTCTACAATCAAAATAAATATTTTTACAAGTACCTTGGATCCTATTCACAAATGAATATTGATTTTCTCCAATATTAACATAAAAAATTAAAATTTCATTTTCTGTGGAAACTGCTAAAAGAGAATGTACATCATTATAAGATATTTTGTAAAGATTATTATCTTGTACCATTGTATGAATTACAACATTTCTTTCATAATCAAAAATAAATATTTTTTTTAGATTATTAATTAAAAAAATTAAATTTTTATGAACAACAAAATCAATAATAAACGAAAAAATCGTAGATTCATTAATTAAAAGTTTCCTAGTTATGTCATATACTTTTAGACTATTCGATGTAATAACAAATAATAAATCATTATTAGTAAAAATTTTTGTTAATTTATCTAGTTTCTTAATCGGTACTTGAACTTGTGTATTAAAGAAATTAATAGATCTAGACGTAACATACAAATTGTACTTATCACAAGAAAAATCAAATACATTAGAACTTTCATGTAAAATTTTTACTGACTTATCTCTAATATCAACCTCATAAATTTTAGAAATTCCATTCTCTAATGTACATAAAGCTCTGATAGAAGACTCAAGCTCAACTTTCTCAATTATTCCATCAAGTTCATGTGTAAATATCCGATAAAAATTTTTTATTTCAAATATTTCTAACAAATTATTCGTGTAACAAGCAAAATATTTCCCATTTCGATCAATAACACACTTATCTTGTATTTTATAGTATTTAGCAAAAGTATGAGGAAAGTATAAATCTTCTTTAACAATGTTATTTTTTAACAAATCGCTAATTTTTAGTGTTTTTCTTTCTCTAGGAAGATATTGTTTCAAATAAGTCCTTCTTAATTCTTTTTCTAAATCCTCTTTTTTCATTCTTAAATCTACTAATTTACCAGTATATTGATCATTAACGTCTAGTACAATATTTTGATGATAGTCTTTAAGATCATCAGCCCAAATATCACTTATTACGTTTTTGGGTTCTGGCACAACTTTAGCGTAATCGTTCTTTCTTAAAAACTTTTTAACCATTTTTTCTTCGTTTAAAACACTGGATCCCTTTTTTACAAATTCTAAAGGTGTATTCTGTGTATCTTTAGAAAATGTTAGTTTGTAAGGGATATACATGTCTACTGTAGGATCAAGACAGGCATTCTTTTTGTATTTTCTTACAACTTTAATATCTTCTTTAGTTATTTCATAATATTTATTGTTAGTTTTAACAACTCTCTTTGTTTTTTGTTTTCTCCTGTTCAAAAACTTATCTATTCGATCCATTTAACGGTTAAAAAATTGATTGAAAAGTAAACATTTTTGCATTTCAAGATTAATCTAGACCCCTCATGACAAAAATAAAAATAAAAGGGATTTCTGTAGATTTTCCATATGAACCCTATGAGTCACAGAAACAAACAATAGAAAAAATTTTAACTTGTATGATGGAGGGATCTACTGGAATGATAGAAAGTCCTACAGGAACCGGTAAGAGTCTTAGCATTTTATGCGCAGTACTTGCATACAAGGAACATATAAAAAGGAATAACATACCGCTTCACAAGCCACCTAAAAAACCTCTTTTAGATGCCGTTGATGAATCTAAACAATCAGATATTAACGAGCTTCTTAATGCTACACAAGAAAAGGCTGAAAATGATAATGATTTCAAAATTTTTATATGTTCTAGAACACACAAGCAATTAGATCAGCTTGTACAACAACTTAATAAAACCAGATATAAACCAAGAATATCAATTTTAGCCAGTCGTAATCAATATTGCATTCATCCTAAACTACAAAATGTTACTGATAAAGCATCTGCATGTTCTGAATATATTAAAAAAAATCAGTGTAATTATGTTAACGGCAAAGATAGATTAGCAAAAAGAGTTGGACAAAATATTTTTGATATTGAAGAAATTGTACGAGAGGGAAAAAGATGCGGTGGATGCCCATATTTTGCCGCACGAAAATTGGCAGATGATGCTGATATCATTTTTGCGCCTTATAATTATCTTTTAGATCGAAATGTCAGAGGAAATACTGCGATTGAACTGTCCAATTCTATTATAATTATTGATGAAGCTCACAATATTGATGATGTTTGTAGATCATCTGGATCAATAGAACTTACATCTAATATTATTGATATTATTGTCAACGAACTTTTAAATGCTGTAAAAAAGTCAGCATATCTTGGTGAAACAAAAGGGGATTATCTAATACTTTTAGAATTATTTAGAAAGTTAGTATTCAATGTTGAAAAAGTTACATCTTTTGACAAGACAAATAAAAACGTTAAATTAAGAATACGAAAAGGAAAAAACATTAAAAACGAACTTATAGAAATGACTATTACGTGTGAATTTATGACACAATTTAAAAATGCTATTTATGGTATAGAGCAGGTTCAAGATGGCAAGTCTCTTGTAAGTGTTAGTACATGGCATATAATTGAAACATTAGATTCAATCCTTAGTCCTCTTCTTTTTTCTGATTGTGATGTGTATTCTTATGCGTTTAATAAATGTGAAAATGATTTCCAAGGACGAACTTTTTTTTCATATAATTTTTGGTTAATGGATGGTGCGTACGTTTTTTCGCCATTTGTAAAGCAAGTTAAAGCTCTCATTCTACTTTCTGGTACATTAACTCCTTTTGTGTCATTTTCTAGTGAACTTGGTCATAAATTTGCACATCAGATATCTGCTCCACATTTAATTAATGATAAGCAAGTACTTGTTACATGTCTTAAAAGAGGACATTTAAAACAAGAACTGATTGGAACTTATAAAATAGCTGAAAGCTTGGCGTATTTAGATCAAATTGCTAGAGTTGTGTACGATACGGCCTATAAAGTACATGGACATGGAGGAACGTTAGTTTTTGTGCCATCTTATACATTTCTTGATAATTTACATGCGCGAATTAAACTTTTAAGGCTTGATAATTTATTTTGCGAGCCAAAAGCAGGTGGTATAAACGAGTTTGAAAGCATTTTGAAAAAGTATCACAATCGAATAAATGAAAAAAAGCCAGTAGTACTGTTATGTGTGTATAGAGGCAAAGCATCAGAAGGTATTGATTTTAAAGATTCGTCAGCCAGAGCAGTTATTTGTGTAGGAATACCTTATCCTAGCCTTGTAGATCCACAAATAGAATTAAAAAAAGAATTTAATGATAAACACAAACATTTTAATGGTCGTAGATGGTATGAAACACAAGCTTTGAGGGCAGTTAATCAAGCTGTTGGGCGAGCCATTCGGCACAAGGACGACTGGGGCATAATTATCATGCTTGATAGTAGATACAGCGATAAACGAGTATCTGTTCAATTATCAGGATGGGTATCGCAATTTTTAAAAGTACATAATGACTATGAATCGTGTATAAAAAGCATTAATTTATTTCTTTCGGATAAAAGTAAACAATAAATATTTTTTTTACTTTTAAAAGAGTATTTAATATAAAATTTTGTCAGGTATTTATTTATATCGAAACTGTTATAATTAACTTTTCAAAAGCATATAAATATTCTTGGCAATGAGTAAATTTTAATATTAGTTTTATATTTATTTTGTCATATTACAAATTAAAATTTTAATAAATTATCTTAAAACACCAACACATTTCAATTAATTGTATTAAATCTTTGATAAAGCAGTTTAAAAAACAAACCTGGTATTTTAATCTTCTTTACTTTTTGTAAAAACTTAAAATACTAATTATTAAAGTTTTAAAAATAAAATTATTTTAAAGCCATAAAAATTTCAATTAAGTTATTTGTTAATGAGCTCTTTCATTTAACCATTTATAATGTAACAAAACTGCTATTTAATAAGAATGTTTATAAAATATTTTTCTATTTTGGTGTCACTATAAAAACAAAATATTACAAATTTTTTATTCAAAATTATTTTCTAGAAAAAATGAATTTTCTAGAATTTTTTTTTCTATAAATAATTTTTCACCCATAATCCTTCAATGTCAAACGAACAAAATAAAGAACAATATGAATTTGATGTAAATACAAATCAACTTATGGATATCATTATCAAGTCGGTTTATTCGTCTTCAGAGATATTTCTTAGGGAGTTAATTAGTAACTCGAGTGATGCATGTGATAAATTTAGATCATTGTATTTAGAGTTTCAAGAGCAAGGAGTAGTGACTGATAATCCGTCAGTTTTAGAGATTCAGGTGATTCCAGATTTAGTAAATAAAACATTAACTATTAAAGATAATGGTATTGGTATGAAAAAATCAGATCTTATAAGTTTTATTGGTACTATTGCTAGTTCTGGTACTAGAAAATTTAAAGAAGCTTTAGAAAAGAAAGAAGGTGGAAGTGGAGATATTAATCACTTAATTGGACAATTTGGTCTTGGTTTTTATTCTTCCTATCTTGTTGCAGAGAAGGTAGATATTATAACTAAACATCCTCTCGATGAAGCATTTGTATGGTCATCGAATGGAAGAGAAAGCTATACTATTCAAAAATATGAAGGTGAAGACTTTAATCATGGTACATCTGTAATTTTATATATTAAAGAAGGAAATGAAGAATTTTTAGAAAGTAAAAAAATTATTTCTTTGATAAAGAAACATTCACAATTTGTTCTTTATCCGATATTTACATACGAAGAAAAAGAAGTAGAAGTTAAAGATGAAGAAAAGAAAGAAGTTAAAGATGGAGAAGAAGGCAATGTTGAAGAAAAGAAAGAAGATACTGAAGAACCTGTGGTTGAAGAAGTAGAAGAAAAACCAGTTAAGAAAACAAAAGTTACTGAAAAAGTTAAAGTGAACACTGATAAACCGCTTTGGGAGAAAAATATCAAAAATGTACCAGAAGAAGAAATTACAAGTTTCTATAAATCTATTTCTGGAGACTGGGATAATTATCTTGCTGTTGAATCTTGGACTATTGAAGGTTTTATGACTCTTAAACTATTGCTTTTTATTCCTAAGAGAAGTAGAATGGATATGTTTTCAGGTAAAAATAAAAAGTCTAATAATATAAAATTATATGCAAATAATGTATTTGTTACTGATGATTTTGGTGATAATATTCCTGAGTGGATGAACTTTGTTGTTGGTGTTGTAGCTAGTAATGACATTTCGATGAATGTGTCAAGAGAACTAATCCAAGGACATAATGTTATGAAATTGGTGAAGAAAACACTTCCTCAGAAACTTATGGATATGATTACTAAACTATCAAGAGATGAAGAAAAATATTCTGCATTTTATAAGGAATTTGGTAATTGCTTGAAATTGGCTGTTTCAGAATGCACTGATTCTCAACAGGAAAAACTTGTCAACTGTCTTAGATATGAAACTTCTAAGTCTGAAGGTAAAATGAGATCATTTAGTGAATATGTTGACAATATGAAAGAAAATCAAAACCAAATTTACGTTTTGACAGGATTATCCAAAACTCAAGTAGAGCAGAATCCAATGTTAGAAGTATTTAAAGATTATGAAGTAATTTTTATGTATGATTCTATGGATGAAGTTATGCTTAGAGGACTTAAAAAATATAAAGAGAAAGCTGTTCAGAGAATTACTTCAGAGGGGGTCGAAATACCTGAAGAGGCTCAAGCGAATAAAGAAGAGTTAGAAAAAGAGTTTGAACCAGTAATAAATAAAGTTAAGGAAATATTAGGAAGTAATGTAGAAAAGGTCATATTGAATTTTAGATTGGGTTCATTACCTTCTGTTATTTCTACAACAAAATATTCTAACTCTGCTGCTATGGAGTCAATCATGAAGTCTCAAATTATTGCTGAATCTAATCCACTTGCCGCTATGGCTGCTACATCAAAAAAGATTTTTGAGTTGAATCCATTTAATCCAATTGTTGTAAGAATGAAAGATTTAGTTGCTGATGAACATAAAGAAGACTTTAAAGAAATCACCAATTTGCTATTTAATACTATGCTTTTAAATTGTGGATTTGTTTTACCTGATCCTCAGAGCTATTGCAGTACAATTTATAAGTTTTTATCTAAAAACAATCATTAAATGCGTTTAAGTTATTTTTTAATTTTTTAAAAGGTCTCACAATAATAAGCATGAATAACAACTGCAATGATTCAATAAAAAGGCGAATTACAGGCTTGAATTAAAAAAGGTAAAACGGGTTAAATATGCTCTCCGTTACAAAATTAAATTAAGACTTATTTTATTATACACAAATTTTACTTATAAGTTTAAATCTAGAAAAATAGCTACAACGATATGCTGTCATAGAAATTGTAATGGTTCTGCTTAACAGTAGGCAAATGGATTAAGTACTTGATCATCAACGTCTACATACCACAAGACAGGGACCTCAAGAGAGAGGTTCTTGCCAGACT